AAGTTTCGAAAATAGTTCAACACGTCTCAAGGACCACACTTTATTCATAGTGGAAGTATAATCATAAAAACATAAATCAAGACCGACCCACTCGTCTTCCCCCCATCATCCGGCACCTACTTAACCTGCATCCGTGAAGAGCAGGTGGGAGTGAGCACAAAATGAACGTAGTGCTCACTACTATGCACATAAATAACAACATGTCAAGATGGTATAGTCGCAGCATGAAAATAAAACCCGAAGGCGGGAGTACATGCCACGCTACAGACACGGCCTTCTATATGGGCTTACGTACCTCGCAAGGGCACGGCCATATCAGGACTTAAGGAGACTTGCCTCACAAATATAAACATTCATCATTCATGGCATAGACAATTTAAATAAGACCCACCTAGAAATTGCGGTAGAATATCACTCAAAAGCAAGTATGTAGTTCGAGGGCTCGACTCCTCAAACACCTACATTCATGCGAGATAATATATCAATAATATATCTCACGAATCAACAAATAAACCGAATGAAATCCGACTTCAAACCAACTTTCAGTAGATCGAGCACAACATATATATAACATGTGATATATGAAAACGACCACAATAAAGAGAGGATTCAAATAAGTTACCCGACTTCTGGAAACTACGATTTATCGAATGGGAAACGGGCCGAACAGCGGGTCGGACGTACGACTTTGAGACTCGACGACAACCTTCGACGGACGGGGCATGGGGCTGCTCGCGAACGGGTTGCTAGGGATGGATGGCTTCAGCTGCGCAATCGAGAAGCTGCTTGGAGAGACGCCGGTGAGGATGGAGTTCGCAGGAATCAACGGCGACTGCAGCGATGGGAAAAGGTACTAGCCGGTGATCACTGGTTGCTGCTCGGGGGAAAAGATGATGATTACGACAAGAATTCGATCTTAGGGGAGTTGCCGGGAGACTTGTAGGTCAGCAAAATTCTTCTTTTTTTCTTAAGCTGCGTACTGGTGTATGCAAGAAAGAGAGATAGATGGAGGTAAAGAGTGAAGGAGATAGGGAGATTGAGAGCATACACGACCAATATAAACCAGAGGAAGGGAGACGTTAGGGAGAACGTGTGGTTATCAACGGTAGAATCGCGCCGAACTTTTGAACGTGCAGATAAGAATGAGACTCGGTCTCGATTGCTAGGAGGAAGAATAGAAGGGCCGTATAATACTTGGGTCATTAACAATCAATTAATGGGCTACCCAAAAT